CTCTACCTAAAGAGGGGGATAATACCATGCATATCTGACGCTCATATTCTCTAACATCAAAGAGATCTCTGATTCCATAATTTTTCGTTCTTTGTTCCGTAAAACAAAATGCCTTGATGATGAAGGATCCAGGGTATCGAATCACGAATCACGGTACTATAAGCTATAAAATTTACTTCAGAAGCCAGATCAACTTTGGTACAGTCTTGTGATGGCACCATCCAGGATCTTGGTGGTGCAAGCCATCGGCGATTACGGCGAACTACAAACACGCATTGTGAAAGAACTATAATAAAATTGGCTAATGATATGCGACGTGGTCTAAGCTCCTAGAGCTTCTGACCTTGACTTGCAGGATCTTAACTCGAGGTGTGAATTGCCAAGTAAGGCGGTGTGAATGAGGGAAAAGTAAACCGAGGTTGAACTAAAGTTAAGATCTGAGAGTTGAGAATCTGATACTTTGCCTATTTGCAATTGGGAATCACGGCTCATATTTGAGAGAGTGAATTGCAAGAGAGACTTTTGGTAGAGAGAAATGCTGTGGCTGCTCGGAGGCTCAGGCGGCTCGCTCATCGCCGCATTATGCCCCGCTTCGGCTGAAAGCCTGAGCTATGAACCAGTTCATCGGGAACGCTGAAGATTTTCCCCGCTCCTATCACTTCGCCAACCGCAGAGGTGGTCCACCGTAGCCTCTAGTACTTGGGTACAAACATCCAACAACTTGTTTCCTCTTCCTCTCCCCATTCCTTCTTAGAGTCTTTCATCCACAAGACTTTTTGGTGCCTCCTGGCATCCTTTTCTACCCCTTTTTTTTTAATTATTTCCTTGGGTTCTTTCGGTTAGCCAAGGAAGAGGCCTCACAGGTACGTTACTACGTCATCTGAGCGTCGCATTGGGAAAATTGAGATAGTCAAAAGGAAGGAGCCGCAGCACCATATACAAGAGGTTATAGAGAACATACTGCCACCATGTCCCTCTCGGAAAGAGTAACGGCTATGGAGGAGTACCAGCCGTGGAGTCGGGAAGCGAGTCCGGAGCCCAGGCATCGCAAGATGAGCTTCAATCCTGTGGGTACTTGGGCGCCGCCAGCATTTGAGGAGCCGGTGGGCGCTTTCGAGGTGCCGAAGTGGAAGAGGATACGTGAGTACAGCCCGTGGACGTCTTTACAATGGAAGGAGTTACTAATACAACAATAGTTCAGGTACTCGCTGCTGCCCTCTACTGCCTCTTTGCTGCCGGGATCGTGTTTGGATACGCTGCGATAAAACCGGTCTTGATCAACGAGGGAGTGTATAGGGATCGTTGTACCCTGAAGGAGATTGAGGATAATGTGATCGTGTGCTATGAGCAGGAATTACGGTCAGCCCGATGCATGCTACATTATGTCTACAATAAAGCTAACTAATTATATAGGCTCAACTTCATGTTCACCTTCGCCGCGGTATCTACAAATGTGGTTGCCTTGCCCGTAGGAACGATCCTCGACCACTACGGACCAAGAGTCAGTGGTATACTCGGTTCTCTCTTTATAATCATCGGGGCACTTTTGTTCGCTTTTGCAGCCCAGCTTCCCTTTGATGCCTATATCCCTGGATACTTCTTCCTAGCGCTGGGCGGACCGTTCATCTTCATCTCCTCGTTCCAGCTCAGCAACACTTTTCCGCAGTACTCTGGATCGATCCTCGCTCTTCTCACCGGCGCCTTCGATACCTCCAGCGCAATGTTCTTATTCTACCGGTTGACCTACCAAGCGACCAACGGATCGTTTTCGACTAAAAAGTTCTTCCTGGGCTATCTGATAGTTCCGGCTTACATTCTCCTCGTTCAAGTATTTATCATGCCCGGTACATCTTACAAGACAGTGGGCGAACTTGTCAGGGCAGTCGAAGAGCATCCCGAAGACGAGCATGAGTCTGACGACGATATTGCAGATGAAGGACTTGTTCAACAACTCCGTGACGCGCGCCGTATCCACCGTGAAAGCGTCATCAGTGAAGTCACTGAGCTGCTCGGAAGCAAAGATGCGGTTCAACAAACCAAGAAGGAAGAAGAGAAGAAGAATGTTTCGGGGGTGTGGGGTGCGCTCCATGGCCAAACAGCTGCCCAGCAGATGAAGTCTCCTTGGTTCATTCTGATCACCCTCTTCACGGTCCTGCAAATGACCCGCATCAACTACTTCGTGGCCACTATTCGAACTCAGTACCTCTACTTGTTCGGAGATTATGACAAGGCTGTTGCGATCAACAACTTCTTCGACGTGGCCCTTCCCCTCGGTGGTGTGATTTCGGTCCCCTTCATTGGTTTGGTACTGGACAATACCAGCACGCCTTTCTGTCTGGGGTTGCTGGTGACTATTGCTACGATGATCGGCGTGCTTGGTGTTATTCCAAATGTCTGGTGTGCGTATGCCAATGTCTGCCTGTTCGTCATCTACAGACCTCTCTACTACACGACTGTCTCGTAAGTGATTCTTCCACAGATGCTATGAGAAGTTAGTGCTAACTCATTCCAGTGACTACGCCGCCAAAGTCTTCGGTTTCGCTACCTTTGGCAAAGTCTACGGCCTCATCATCTGTCTCGCTGGCCTCTTCAACTTCTCACAATCTGCGCTCGATGCCATGACACACAAGACGTTCAACAACAACCCCGTGCCTGTCAATGTTATGCTGCTCCTACTCGCATTGATGGTCGGTATTACGCTTGTGGGATTTGTGTGGTGGAAGAGTCGAACGATCCAGAGAGAAAACATCCAAAATCAGGCCGAGGGAGCTACGGAGTCCCTGATGCCGGGCGCTCATGCGAATGGCATCAGTCAGACGGATTATGGGGCGATGGCGAATAGCGAAGAGAGAGGGAGGAAGGTTAATGGACGGAATTAAATCCACGTTTAAAAAAAAATTGGCAGAGATGGGGTCAGAATTGATGCATTTGATGGTGTCCATTGAACCGGAAAGAGTTGGAGGAAACGTCAATCTGCATTTCCAGGAGCAAATGGAGGAAGCGAGTCGACGGACACGATGACGTGCAGTTCATACGTGCGTCTCTATGGCGTCAAGTATCATTTTCTCTGTAAGAGCATGATACCTTTAATGTTGTCTACGGAGGGTACGATTTTCCTTTATAGCATACAAAAAGCGAGGAGTTGGGTTTATTTAATGTTTCTAAAATGTTGAAAGGGAAAAAGCAAAAATAGTTTGTGTATTGTATCTAGGGATGAAGGATGAATGTTTCTGTAGCATAGTTATAGCGATCAGATGAATGAGTTATGGAGTCGCCGGTCTCAAATACCTTTTCTTGGGGGGGGGGTTGAGTGAGCATATGAATACTTCCTAAGGTTCCTCTTTATCTTCTAGGTGTTCTTTTCAGCGGAAGAATGGAGTATGTCTATCACCGTAGCCAATAACTAGGAATTCGAAGATGCAGTTATTCTCTTTCTTATCTTCTCTCTCCTCTTCCATCTATTAACTCCACCCAATTCTCAAACATAGTACAACTGAGGACTTCAAAACGCTGTTGGCATTAGAAGATCTGTTATAATGCTCATCCTACTAAAGCTATTCTATACTATTATTGAACCTCTTTTATTTCAGTGCTATATCGGAAAAAGCCGTTATATAACGGTCCAAAGCCGGGATGTCCTAGGCTTTATAGGTGGCATTGACAATGTATAATTGAAACAACATAGCAATATAGTTTACTGCTTAGAACAATCAACACTTATTTCGTGATATAAAATTTTCTAGCTCGCTACTGAAACAGACGTACACTCTTTGTCGGCCCTGGCTTATACAGCTAGACTTCTAAAGAGACGGTTCTGGGATTACTCAGATTAGCATTGGTTCTGGGGAACGAGCGTAGTAGAGGGAAGAGCTTAGAAGTTATTCAGAGATCATGAAACTGCATTTCGTTGTCGAGGTAGGACGTTAAGTGCTTCAGCCATGGATAAGCGGTGGGAAGGGGGCTTGAACGGAGTTTTAAATATGCAAAGTGGTGGTTATCGATTAGTGTCTAGGGACACTGATATAGGTACCAGACATCTGAATTTTTACTATAAAAAAAACATCTTATTATCCCGAGCATCCTTCAAGATGATAAAGAGCATTCACTGGACTCTTACAAACATGCATACCCCTCCTATTCTTATATGGCCAATTATTCAACTAATAATAAGATAAACAAAATTCCTGCTCGCCTCTCATGTCGATATTTCCTTGGGTAATATCTATATAAATAATATCTTAATCAGCTCTTAAGATGTATTAACT